GATTAGTACAATCATGTTAGAATTTTTAAGAAGCCTTTTCTGGTACGAAATTAGGTTTTGGAAAACTAATACAAGAGCTTCGATGATATTTCAGCTGAAAACGAGAGAGAAGCATTTTTTCCTTTCCAGGAATTACACTAATCAATGAACTGCGAAAATAATACTTTCCAAAATAAAAATAAAATTAAAAAAACGTGTGAGAACACAGTTCCTCTATCGTTTTACTGACCATACTGAGACCTCTGCGGGAAATTTATTAGGTTCTTGAAGCACACGTGACGCAAAGCTATGTGACAGGTGTAGGAACCCCAGTGCCAAACAGCCTCGGTCTCTCCTGATAAATCAAAGCATTAAAAGTACTAGAACACGTTTTGCCAGTGGCTTGGATCCTTTTTTGTTTTGATGACGCAAAAAACTGTAGAATTTTTCTGACGTCAAAAAGTAAAAAAATAGCATGCAAAAATCAGCATCGCCATGCATGAAACTCAGGAAATATGAATACTTGTCACAGTATCCTTAACGTTTTTGATTCATGGCGATCACGTTACATAGCATTCTGACACGGAATTAGAAGTATTGTAAGCGGCAAATAATATTTTACCTCTAAAACAAAGATTCACACTCAAGAAAAAATGTTCACTCAAACATTATTTACTGACATACTTTTCTGGTCTTTTCACATACAAAAAATATGCATTTGTTGTTATTTATTATGTTATGATATGCTGTTAATTATTTGTAGATATATTTCACTTTTTTCGAGTTTATTACTTCTGGCGCGCTCGTGACTTGTGGGTGACTTCAACGCGTGGGTAGACGAGGTTTCAATTTATAAATCGACGGCACATTTCTGTTTGCGCATGTTTCAATTTAAAGTCGCTGTAGTGCGAGTACAAGGTCGGTGAGGAAATTACGAGCACTGATATAACTCGTACAAGCCAACCAGTGTCTCGCTTAGACCGACTAATTATGATCGCGCCAAGTCATTTAAGTAAATCCCCGAGTAATTGAGCAGCGCTGCGTCCCGCGTTTCGACGGTAGTGATGTTGGCCGTGGGCCACTGAAATATTTGCGCAGATCTAGAGAAAGGTTCCCGGTCATGTCTCAACGCTCAGGCACGTATTAGCTCGGCCACGCGTACCGCACTGAGTGAGCGTGCTGTGGTCGTTTAGTGCATTGAAAATTGCAGACAGGAAGTAGTACATAAATGCGAATGTGCGGAAAACAACTGGATTATTTTACGATGCAACCGTTATCTTTGAATGGTTCCGAGCATATACTATTGCCTTTCCTTTTTCGTAGTCTCAGGATCGTTGAAATAGAGAGTAGATTAACATTATTTTTATTGTACTGCTCGTTGCAGGACAGAACATCACTCCCATATTGCATATCGTTTTATTACGTTGCTAAGCAGTTTAAGTAGAGTGGAAAGCTTCATCGATGTTGAAATGTTTTAAATGTGAGGATCAATAACTGTTCAACGTAAGTGTTCGTATCATTTCATATGGAATCTACGGTTCGTATCATTCTGTAGTATTTGACATGCGATCTACGGCTGCTGTCACTATAGTTTTCTGGTGCAAGAAGTATCAACTACTGTGAATGCTTTTTGTAAATTTTAGTATCTTATGACGTTAGTAGAAACACTGAGCTACTTAGTCTACGATTTTTAATTTATTTTACATGGATATGAACAATTATTCATTTTTCTTTACAAAAATAACAATAATATACCATTTTATCCATGTGAGTTCGAATGTTGTTCAAGCTTAATTTACCTCAGGTGATGAGCGAAAACTTCAAAGCGCAGTTAGGCATTCTGGATGTAATGGACAATGTTACCCTTTATCAATTGCTTGCACGTTTCAGCATTATAGTTTTACTCTACATGTGTTTGTGGGTGGTAGCATTCAAACGTGTGTGGGAATTTCTACCTGAGCGATGGCTATAAGAATCGTTTTAATTTCAATTGCTGATTTGGAGAAAGCTGTACAATCAGCTTCGTTTTTCTCCCACAATTCAGAGTAGCGTAAGAGAATGCAAAATTAATATACACGTAGGAGTTTAAACACAATTCTTCCAAACAGCTATAATTTAAGCATGGCGAAAGGAAATTGTATTGTAAAGAAAAATTACGCTCATATTTATAGTAAAAATTAATTGTTACATTTTTATCTCATATTTATATTTGTAAAAATATTAATACGTTTGTAAAATATATATTTGCGTGATATTATTAACGTGATTTGAATGCATTATCATCTTTTAAAAATGATGAATAAATTTTATGAAATTAGGGTAACCAGAAACAGCACACCGAGGACGCATGGATCCTTTCACAGCATTGTCTCACCAAGGAATGCGATCTGGCACAAAATGACACGCATGGGGCCAAGATTAATTATTCACGCTCTAATACAAGCTATATTTCGCATGCGCTCTCATTTCGCAGCACAGAGACAATTTCTCCGGCACCAGTCGCGCATTGCTTCGTGAAAAGAAGCGTTAGTCGTGAGTTCAATTGGTGAGATTTTCCCATTAGATACACTTGATACGGCTCCTGTTTTCGCATTTTATTTCGTTCGTTTTAGAAAGCGCGTAAATCAATGAAAATGAACATAATGGGGAAACGGAAAGGAAAATGCAGTAACCTTTTGCAAGAATACATGTACAGGAGGTTGAAAAGAGAAATTGAACTTTACTTGCCTGTTTTGATAGTTTTGTTATAATATAATGCATGACGTTTGTAGCTATGAAATAATAAATTGTCTTTATTAATGTTTTTGAAGAAACCTTTTTGAGTGTAAACACTTTTAATCAATAATTGACATCCACAATCACTTTTAGAAGTAAATATATGAGAACTAATGTAAAAGTTGCCTCACATTGAAACAAAAGTGTAAGTAAAAAGTTAAAGTAATAAGCCGTAAGTTATTAGTTAATTGTTTGTGAAAAGTCACCAAGAGTAGATTAAAAATCAACCAATTGATTAGGGATTTTCATTTATTATTTTGAACGTTTCGCTCAATTCTTCAGTATTTTAACTATATAATATCAGTTTTGATTTCTGTATCTTCTCATTGATATTCATTTTAATGTGTGTGCGCCTAAAAATAAGTGTCTGTTAACGTGCTCTTACATACAATATTCTCCATAGGCCAAAATTAACTGATTCACTTAAAAATAAACTATTGGTGCGACAGAATGTCACAGACATTCTCGTATTACTTTTCTATTTTCTTTGGTATGGGCTAGCTATTCGGACTTGACACATACTCTTGCCAGCCGTCCAAAGTACATGTTTTGAACATTTCTAAATTTTTGGGGTTTCCTAATAGAAGTACTGAAATATTTCTTTGAGAATTATTAAAGAAGAATAAAACGTCGTCCTAAGTGATAATTTTCAGTGAAAATGTGAAGCCGTTCTTAAGAAAATGCCGTTAAAGCCCTAGTGTAAATGCGGAATTGCAACCCCCTTTTTAATGAATTCTTTTGAGATTTCGAAAAAAAATAGCAAGTCATTTAAAGCACGTCCACTCACAAATGCAAATATAATCGTTAGAAATGTACATGTAAAAGGCATGAGAGATATTTTTAAAAAATATATATTTGTGTAACGTTTTAAGAAAAAAAAGCTCACAGCAAAATGTCATCTTAATGTCAAGATGACTGTCAACATTTTATGTCATCTTAAACAGTGCAATTAGAGCTATCAGTACGAAAAGTTAGAAGAAAAAAATGTAGCCATTTACGAGAAAATGGCGATTGAGCGTTTCTGAAAATGTGGAATTTTGAGCTCATTTTCACGGAAAACTGTCGTGACTTAGATAAACTTCATATGATATCGTTGAAAGCACATGTGCTCATAAATACAATAATGTGAACAAATGGCCGCTAATGTAAACATGAATGACGTGGAAGACAATTTAAAAAAAAATCGTAATTAAAAAAAAAGAATAGAGCAATATGTTGTTTATGTCATATTAGAGGGTACGCTTTCTACTGCCTGAACGATCTCGGCCGTAGTATGCGGTGCAGATGAAAGCCATTTGTTGCGGTCCACACCCACCCCTGTGGCGCGTTCGCCTGCGCGACGCCGTTCTCGAGTGTAGCCTCTGACGGAGCCGCTTGTGCTCTGTGGCCTTCGCACGCCAGAGGCAGGCGCCCGCCATGCAGAGCCATAGAGCCGCGCCCGAGCGAAGCCCTTAGCCAGCGCTATCTCTTTCACCTCCAACACCTCCAACCGGCGCCCCCGCCCGCCCTGGACAGCGCGGGTGGCAAGGCGAGCGGCGGGCGAGGCGGCGGCGCCGGCGCGCCGGGCGGCGCGCGCGCGGCAGCGCCGGCGACCCGCGCCCCGCAGCGGCCACCCGCCGTCCGTGAGATGGGCTTGCAGCCGGTCCGCGGCCACCCATCGCCCGCCCCCGCCCCCAGCCCCCGCGCGCATTGCAGCCCGCCGCGGCGCGGCTGCCAGCGGGCCGCGCGCGCGGCACTTCGCATGCCCCGGCCCCGCCCCCATGCCGCGCCCTCCCGCTCGCCATGCTTAATAGCTATGCCATGCCTGTTCCGCCGCCACCACCACCACCACGAGTTCGGGGACGCCCTCCCCCATGCGGATGAACCCCGCGGCCGTGCACGTGCGGGCGGCGCAACCCCGCCGGCCGCCCGACGGAATCGCTGATGCTGACGGGGACCTGCCCCCGGCCGGCCGCACGGGGCGGCGGCCGGCGTCGCGGCGGCTTCGGCGCGGCTGGCGGGCGCGCGCGGCCGCCTCGCGGGCCAGCTGTGCTCGCCCGCACCCCGCGCGCTCGCCGCCCGCCGCAGAGACTGAACCCCACTCGCACGCCTCAATACCGTAGTCCACCGCTCAGGCACGTTCAACGCACTCGCTGGGCGGCAACTCGAGCAGCTGTGAGCCCCCCACAGGGGGCGGCGGGGGGCGGGGAACGCGCCGGGCGGGCGCTGTGCCACGCCCGCGCGCGCCGCCGCCCGCCGCGCCCAAAATGGCCAACGGCGGCCTGCACATCCCCCGCGCGCGCGCCGCCTCCATCCCCGCCAACGTGTCGCGCTTCGTGTCGAGGTCGCGGGAGGCGGGCGTCAAGGAGATGCTCACCAGCCTGGGGCTGCTGTGCTTGGTGTCGCTGCTGCTGGCGCTGCTCTCGCTCATCTTCCTGCTGAAGATCTCGCCGCTCACCGTCGCCGACATTCGCGACCTGCTGCGCTCCGAGCAGCTCACCGTCATCTCGGCCGAGGAGTACGTGGTGGTGTACGAGGTGACGCTGGCGCTGTGCGCGCTCACGCTCTCGCTCAACCTCTGCTGCCTGCTGGTGTGCGCCATCCAGTTCCTGTTCGCCGTCAAACTCGTCAAGTCGCCTCAGGGTGGCGAGAGGTGAGTACGGTTGCATGCCTTTCTTGCCGAGCAGTACGTCTTTGGAAGGGAATATTGTTTTCAGTATTCGTCTAAAATTTCGTGCACGACAGGAGTTTCATTTTAGTATAAGCATTTCATTATAAACAGTACATTATAAATTGTTATGCAGGTTACATTATCTTTTCTTCTCAATTTCAAACGTAATTCATAATTTCACTTGCTGAATGTTCAATTTAAAATGAAAAAAATACTTCATATTAATAGTTTAAAACAGTGAAACAAATAATCATGTAGCGCTGGACGAAACAACTCTTCTTATTGTGAAAACGCACTATATTCTACATTATTGATTTTGTCTTGGCTAGTTGGTCAAATGGCTGGCATTCTACTGCTGCCTCGCATATCCAGTTGGGATAAGGAGGGATCGCATGCGATCTATGTACTACCAACACCTCCACCACTACCACCATCAGTAACACTACCAGTACTACTATTACTACTTCTAGGTGGTCTAGGTGCTTTCAGCGTTGTCAATGCACGCGAACTGAGTGGTTAGAACTCCAACCAAGGTATACTCCACCTGAAGATAGCGTACTTGGTTTTCCGTTCCACGTATTCCTTCTGAATCAACATCTCATCCGTAATTATTCATCGTTCATCAGCATTCACGTCTTGCGTTTACCATTCTCATTATACTACGTACTTGTAACCTCCCTGCAGCCACTTGCTCACGAAAGTGCAGGATATAAAAGCGTTCGCTTTCTTTTTCACCTTCGCTTAGAAACGAGTATGGCAATCATCATTACCGTTAATAAAAGAGGTAGCCACCACTGTCACCAAGCACGTGCAAACGAACGAAGCGACAGGTGCGCAGCCGTACGATGTGCGAAGTGTCGTGTCTTCCCGGCGCTTCCGTGGTCGCACGCACAGCGAACGCATGTCACACACATGTCCCACTTAGCCGCGCCACCTCCGCCATCAGCACGCGAGCCGCGTGCGCGGGCCCGACAATGGCCGCCGCCGCTAACCACGACAATTAGAGGCCGAAGAAAAGCTCCGCCCACGACGCCCCTCGCTGACGGCCCTTTGTGCTCCACACACACAGACGACACGCGTCCACGCGCGCATATGCATAAAGCGACGGAGGACGAAGACGACTGGCGACGCGAAGAAAGGCGCTTTTCACTGAAAGGGAATGCGGGTGCTTAGAAGAAAAGTGGGTGCTTGGCGCGGAGAATGCGCTGCTTGTCGTCGATAGTTTCATCTTCATCACTCTCTTTCTTCTTTTTCCGTCGCAGTTCCAGTATTTCTCAAAACCTTTTTATCCCAAGTGCACCTCCATTCGTTTTGTCTTTGCTTCCGCATTATTGTGATGATTTATAGCCTTCTTACCGCGACTTCTTCCATATAGTTTGCAAATCAGCAAAATTTTATAACATTATTTCTACAAACAATATTATTTTGGAAATTTTAGATTTAGTTTTTGTATCAGGATTGATATTTCAAATATAGATCTCTTTAATGGAACTAGAGAAAATTTACAGAATACACAATAGAGTAAATTAGACACCTGAGTAATCGCTATAATTTTTATGTTATTATTATTATTATTATTATTATAATTAGCTGTGAGGTGGAGGCCAATAAGAAGAAAAGGTTAAGATTTTTCAGATACGACAAAACCGCTTTAGTTAAGTGAATAATCCAAAACTAGTTTTAAAAACGGTCTAGGGACGAGGGGAAATGCCTTTAAATTTTACGATATAATTTTATGCATTTAAAGTGGCTATGTTCAGATGTTCTTTTCGTTCAATATGTAAATAATTCATTACTTTTAAGTTTATATTGAGACTACAGTACGGAATTAATATCAGGATTTATCGTCATTTTACAAAAGAAGAAACTTCAATTGTCTCATAAAGTTCCGATTGGAAATCTTTCATGGGGAAAAACTGAGGGATAGAATTTCTTCTTGACAATTGTTTTACTTCATGAAGCAACACGTTACAATAGGATATTGCGGAAGTTTATCTTCCGTTAACGAACAATGTTGGCAAGTGTTTAGAGGGAAGTTGGCAAAGAGGCTTCCTCCCTTTTGACGCCTTTCTGACAAGCTGACGGAAGCAATTGCATTCTTTGTTTCCCTTTTCTAATACCTGTAATTAAACCTTACTCTACCAAGGACTCTCTCCGCCTCACCATGCGATAATTCATACCAAGATCCTGTACTTATCAATCTAAGTGAGAGAGACAACGAAGTAATTTTGAATTAGAGCTGTGTAACTGGGTGTGGTTTGGATTTACCAAACATTTACATTCTACAGAAATTTGTGTCGGATTGAAGGTCAATTTCGTTTCACAAGCTCTATATTTATCATTCTCGCATTTTATCCCACGTTTTGTTCCTTTCTCATTCGCTGGTTCTCTAACATGAACGTACTTGAACTCTCACATCTCCTTCCAAGTTAGCGAAAAAACACTTTACAGCGCATTATTACCTATATTTATTTATTTGAAAATTATATTCCCTCGTAAATTTGCATATATCGAAGCTTTCACGTTTCATCTTTTTACAAACATATACAACGACGAAAAAAAAAAGAGTTTGTATCCTAATGTAATACTGTGCATTAGAGAGGCGAGACAGCACAACAACTTATCTTTAGTGGCGGTATGATATATACTTTGATCGCATCTCTGATAACGGTTAATGAATCACTTAATTACATCTCACGTCCCATTGCGTAGGTTTCGAAGCGTGTCATGTATTCTGAACAACGTTCGTATTTCATAGGGCTGCCTTGAGTAACCTTTTCAGAAGTACTTCTTAACCGTTAGTGCAGCATTGAATAGCAATTGTTTTGAGAACATTAAGGTGTGGGAAAGCATAAAAAACATTTTTTGTGGGTTTGGCAGTCTAAGACTACCTTGAATTATTTTGAAGATTTTGGTTCTTTTTCGTTTTGGTCGAGGAAATTATTACGTTCGAGAAAATTACATATATCTTTTAAACGTTTCTGGGAACCTGTTCAGAACTATGTAACGTGTAAATGATAATAACGTGGCTTTTGCAACTCAACCTCTCGTATATTCCGTGATTGCGTGCAAATGTTCTATTATTGTGCAAAAAAGATCAATGAACAAAAATTAGGGAGAGTTAAAGTGTTACAGGTCTTACTATACAAAATTGATAGCCTCATTTGAAAAGTGAAATCCATTGAACTAACAGTACTCTCAATAAATATTTTTTTGGTTTATATATATTCGAGAATCAAACGTTTTGTGGTTTTGCACCCTAGATCAAACTAAAGTTTCGTTTCCTCAACTCATTTTTCATTTGATACCATCAAATTATCTATAGTTTGAACTATAGTTTTATTATTTACCAGTTTTCACATTAATATTATAACAATGAATATGATAAATGCTTGTATATTCGTGCATTTTGAATGTAGGAATTTAGTTCCCGAATTATACACCATCTTACGCGAAGTGGGCCAAAAGGCAAATCAGTAATGGAAGGATTAGGGTATAGATGTAAACAGTAGTATACCTTACGCCACGCAAACAAATAACAATACATGGGTTTTGAACCCATGTGAGCCTGTGTTCATGAACTTGGGCTCACCTGTCACAATCCCTGTCTTTACGAGGTGAATTCATTTGACAGTCCAATTTGTAAATATGTTAGGGTTATGTTAAATTATAATGATGTGATAAAACTAATAATATAACTGAAAGATGTTTTTTTGCTTGCGGGCATTTAACCGTTCTTTGCACGATTGAATATTGATATAATTTTCACAGAATACTTTTGAGTTTTCGAGAAACGTCATAAGAAATTATTTGAAGCTCTTGTACTCAGAAATACAGTGTATAAAACACTATTAACGTAAATACTAATGACGTGAGAGTTATTTAAAAAAACACCGTTGTTTACTTTTTGAAACATTAAAACAATGTATTAAAGTTATGTTTGTGTCATGCACTTATACCATTTTAGCACAAAAAATGAAGCAGTTTCTGAGAGTATTATTATTTTTAAATTTCGTTTTTCACTCAATATTACGCGAAAACTACTAATATTTTTTAAAAAGCCTACATGGCTGTACTTAAAAACCAAGATGGAGAACAAATTTCATTTCAAAAACATATCTCCATCTTCAGTGATGCAGTTGCTTGAAGCGGTCCGAAAATGTCACATTTAGCTATTTTCGATACTTCAGTGTTAACAAGGAAAATCGGTTGTTTCAGTCTATTCTAGTAAGGAATTCAAATCAAAAAAATGGTTCCATTTTTTAGAACATTTTGAAAATGTCTCCGAGTCTTTATGTGAAAAACCCCAAACTTCAAAGAATTTGTTTCAAATTAGCAAAGGCTTGAATATATAGAGCCACATCAATCGAGGAATAAAATTTTAAAAATAATTCTATGAATTATTTTAGATGTTGTAAGGGACGGTAGCCACTTTAATAATAATAATAATAATAATAATAATAATAATAATAATAATAATATGCCTTTATTAATATGGCGAGGCTTTCCGCAAGATATGGAGAAATCAGGGAATTTCATTGCTCTCGAAAAGTCAGGGAACTTGTAGAAAAATTGTTAAAAGTCAGGGAAAATTTTGAAAGGATTCTAAAACTATTATTTCTTAAAAAATATTGCAAAGTTAATTTTTGCTCTATTCTTATTTGTTTAATAAGAGTGCAAAATAAGAGAGCTATCCCATTATTATCAGAGTAGCTTTAATATTTTCTTTCAAGTGTTGTGAAATTACAAATTTTATCACAAAACAAATCTTAAAAATTGCACTAGAACTCCGGGAAATTTCTTCTAGAAAAAGAAGTGGCCACCCTACTAGTGTTCAGTGTTGTTCACAGAAGGACGGACGTTTTGCCAAAAAACAATTTTCGGGTGTTGAAGACCCACCAAATGTGGATGCTGACGACACTACTTATTACTACGTAAAATCCGCTTTAACGGTATTAATAATTCACCAAACGGGTTTTGCTATCAAAATAAAAGTACTTTTCGCTGCAGGATTACATATATTTCTTTATATACGTACATTACCCCTTATACGACAAAAGCAAAAACATTAAATTTCCCCACTTCGTGTACCACTTAATAAACATATGCTATGTAAACGAATCAGATATCCTGACACACGCAAGCAAAGATGTCACACGTGTGTCAGTCATTTCCAGCCCGTCCGTGAGTGCGGCACTTTCTCTTGAGATAGTCCCGCTTCCGCGCGCTCTAAACTGCGCCGTTTTCCGCCAACCCCCGGCCTTCCCCGCCCGCCCGCCCGCCCCCGCCCCCCGCCTCGACGCGCACGCCAAGCGTGCGCGAAGAAAAAGCAAAACATTTCCGCTGCATAAACATCTGTGCGTCGCCTCGGCGCGTTGCTCCACGTCCCGCGAAGCACACTGCTCCGAAACCGGAGAAATACCCCGCCAAGGCGACACGTCGAGATGTGGAAAGGGGCCCACACCCTGTTTTAAAATTTATTTTACCGATAAGTGGAATTACCACTTTACAGGCGAGTATTATATTTAATTAAAATCAATACTGGCTCGAAGTTACAAGTAGTTGTAAATTAACACATTATCATATCCCTATTTCTGAACGAGGACAGCTCCACTGGGTACCTCTAAGATGATTTTTATTAATTTTGTGAAATTTAATCTAACAAGAAAGTAAGCAGGATATAGAGAGAGAAGTGGCATGAACATTTCCCTTAGAATAAAAAAGGAACCTGCAAGAATGGTCTAACGTAGTCAGTTTTGCATGTTTTATTTCTTGGCATTTACGTCTTTTTATTGACGTTGTTTTGTTTTATTTTATTTTATTTTATGTTATTTTATTAGTTCATTTTCACTTAAAAACAATGCCTTTAGTATGAACGTTAATTTTATGCTAAGCTAAAAGGAAATTGCTCATTATTATTATTATTATTATTATTATTATTATTATTATTATTATTATTATTATTTATTTTTCTTCTTTTTTCTTGCATTTTTCGTCGTTTGAATAATCATTTTAATTTTTTTCTGTCATTTTAAAAATGTTTTTCGGTGATTTTAATATACTTTTAATGGTACTTGCTTCAAATAATATCTTCAAGATGCAACAAATTTTCGCCACAGAATTCCTGAGTTGCCTATTCGTTTCTTCGCTCAGAAATTGTAATGTGGTGATTATGTAACCTAAAGTTCCTGTGACGCGTCATTGTAATTTAGGCGATTTCGGGATTAAAAAAAGAGATTTCCTGGTAAAGAACAGTCCCAAACCAAAATGCATGGTGAGTTCACTTGAAAGAAAGGAAAAATCTTCAATTACATCAGTACATTACATCCAACAGCCTGAGTTCTTCATCTAAACTGATGTTTTATGTACTTTTTCTTTGCTTCTGGAGCATTTTAAAAGAATTTTATTGATCATTTTTGGTGATGTTTTATGTTATCAAAATCTGCCCCTACTTATTACCATTTTATTTTGTGTTGTGTAATGGTTTCAACTTGTACTTTTTGAGGTTTCTCAGCCTTATGTTTAACCAAACACTGAATGCGCACTACAAGACTCCAAACCATTTTTCCCGTTCTTAACTGGTACATTATTAAGCACCGTACACATCTATGTTGTTCCAATTTAGTTTGATTTGATATATTTGTCTGGGGGCTCGAAAGCGTGACGATACGGGTCAGGTGAAAGGTTTTGGAGATGGAGCAGTTGGCTTCGGATGCAATAGTAGAATTTTCATCTTCAGAACTGGAAATTGTATGACAAATATATGAAGAAAACAATACATAATCGAAAACTTTAATAGAAGGTACAAATTGTTAATGATGGTAAATAAAAATAACTACAAAAATCGAAGCAAACCTGTACGTTTCCATTCTATCCACAAATAAAATATACTGCAAAAAAGTGACATTTGGTACAAGAGATAGAACGAGATAAAAATTAATGCAACTTTATAGAACGGGCAATGTTTATTCGTGTTGTACTTTAATTTATACGAGTTATATGATTTTGACGTATTTTGTCAGTAGAGATTCGTGGAGATTGAGGAAAGGTGAATGTAGTTCGTGTCATTGTGGGCCACTGTGCGCCGAGTGCGTGGCGCGGAGTAAGGGGAGGGGCGCTCACGTGACGAGCCTTCTCCTGGCGCCTAAGTGCGATAAAGAGTCTGGTTTAGCGCCCGGCTGGAGGCGCCCGCCCCCGCGTCGTTCTGCGTCGCACGGCGTAGCGCCGCCTCCGGGCCCTCGGGGCGAGGACGGGGCGGGGGCGGGGCGGTAGTGCGATCAGGAGCGCGAAGGGCTAGCGGGCGGCTGGCCGGGCGGGGCGGGGCGGGGAGGGTGTGGGACGGGTGGCGAGTAGGGTTGGTGCATGCGGCCGCACAGCGAAGACTACTGCGTGTTGCGTAGAACGGCGGCTCCCCCCAAACACTGCGCGTTGTTCGGCATTACTCTCAGGTTTCTTATGCGGGCAGTAAGGCATATATATGAGCTGTAGTCTTTCAACATTAGCTCTTTTCATTGTTAAATATCTGACGTTATGATGTTAATTCATTTGCTTCTCGATTCAACAACACAGACCGTCGCTGTAACATCTGTCTGTGCTTGGCTATTTCTCTCGGTGAGACCCGACAGCAGTCACTGTTTGTGCAGCCACCGTAAAGGAGCCCTCTGAACCCCTACGTTTGAATGTGTATAACTGTGCTTAAGTTAAAGTTTATTTTGCTTTCCTTCACTTCCTCAGGAAATGCTCTCTAAAATATCTGACAACGATTGTCGTTCTCTTTGAAATGTTTCTCAGTCTCAGATGAGCAATTTTGTTGCGTCGCCTTTCCAATCTTCACCGTCTTCCTTTCCCTTCTTTCGTTCGTTCCTTCGTATATCTAAATCAGGGGCGTCCAACTTACAAGGTGCTCGATCGTGTTGAATGATGCAATCGCCATCTCCAAATTGCTCTTCAACAGTGGGAAGCAAGAAGGTGTTTAAAACATCAACGTAGGCCCGTGCCTTGATAGTGTCACACAAACCAAGGGATGCGAGCCCCCTCCATGAAAAACACGACCACACCGTAACGTGTGATACATTTGGTCCCATAGCGTACTTCTAATGTAGAGTCCCAAGAACCCTCAACACGGCGCGTGCGGCTGTCGCTGTCGCTGGCGTCCACGCGCGGAGGCGGAGTCGGCAGCGGCGCGTTCTTCCAAATGCGCGTGGGCGCCGCGGCGGCCGGAACTGTACCGCCTCTGCGCTGTCCGGGGTGCTGGGTGCCGCTCAAGGCCGGCCGCGGCCAACAGCCCGGCGACGCCTGCGCGTCACTCCCGTAGCGGCGCGGTGGGGCTTTAACACACCCCCGCGCGCCGCGCCACAGCGGCCGAATAGGCTTCTCTCTGCGATGACTCCCGCGATGAATGGGTTCTTTTGAGGGTCCTAGGATGCCATCGTTTTAATGAGAATGGGGATAGCTTCAATTCAAGGCATTCTCATACATTCTATTCTATTATTTTTGTGTTTTAAAATACATCTTGAGCCGCAGCTCGCTAAAATTTTCTCTTTCAATTGAACCAAGAGAAGATACTGGAATTTAAAAAAATGCTGTCTAAATGAATAAATTTCATGAATGCCATGGGTATTCTGTCTTGTTGGCCGGGGAAGCACAGGAGCAATTAGCTTTGAATAGGATTCTCGACGTGATGATTGCTAGGTAGGTAAGCAGATTAGAAGTTCCTGGAGCACAATCATTGTTGTAGGAATACTTATCGTATACATGGAATATATTATTTTTGAGTGATGATAGGTAATATTTCAATATTACTATTTGTCTTATGATTTCCTGGAACTATCTTTCTTTTTTACGTTTTGAATTTCCATCGCTTTTTCACCATTTATTTTGAACAAAAGAAACACTTAACTTGAAATGTTTTTGATGAATTATGGTTAGACGTTAAAGTCATAACTCTAGAACTGAAACGTAAAATGTGATGAATGTGAAGTGTAATGTTATTCTATCTTCTTCTGTCAAGACGACTTGAGAGGCGCAAAATTGTCACCGAAAACAAAATAATTACAAATCGACTACAATTTCACATATAAAAAGTTATTATCATTTTCATTTGTGAACATGAGTCTCTTTAGCAAAGGAATAACCAAACACGCGATTTGTTGAATAGCGTCACTGCTGTTCGCTTTCATCAAGAGACATTTATTCCTGTAGTCTTGAATTCAGCGAGGAGTAGCACTAGGAAAATTCCACACGTAGCTCTGCTGTTAGAATAATTCGCCTGCCTTGTGGGGGCGAGTGACTGGAAATCCTACGTTGGAAGTTGATGTTGGGTTAGTTATTGCAGGTTGTGCTACCTTAGGGAGAGCGTATGCATGCAAATTTTTAGATTCCTGTACATTCATCGTATGATGCAAACAAATTATCAAGTTAACGTATTATATCCTGTGTCTTAATATAATAGTATGTGGCATTTACAAAAATTGGTAATCGTGTTGAAATGTTGTTAATAACAGAGCAAATGATGTTTCGGTGCGGCAAGTTGAAATTCAATCAACTGTTTGAAATGAAATTATTGCGTTTAATGTAGAACTGATTTGGAACAATTTAGTAGATGTCAAACGAAAATGGCTACTAGCTACATATGAAATAATTGCTATACAATAATTCCTACTTGATGGGGTGGGGATAATCATACGGCACATCTGTCTTGAATCATTAGTGATCTTTAAAGCCGTCTATTGCAAGTTATAATTTATTGGATGGAGAGGTAGTTATAAATGCTTCTTTACATTTAAAAATTTTATAAGCAGCTTATTTTGTTTTGATAATCATAAGTAAAATCTTGTAATATAGAAAGTGAGTCAAGAGAGGAAATATTGGAAAACTCAATTTCCTTTTATTGGCTCGTTCAGGCTCCACAAAGATATTACATAAAGAAAAGAAATTATCCTACAAAGTATGGCTATTCGTAATACAATTTAATACTCACAAACTTTTAAGTTCAACTGAAAGTATATAATGAATTTGAACAATTTCTCTGATTGATTTGAGTAAATTATTAATTTGTAAGAAGCAGTTCATGAGACACGTAGTTTAAGAACCTCTGTCTTAGTTTCAAATTTAGTCTTCTGTAGAGCATAAACGATCGATTTTCAAACCTTGGCACACTGAAGGCGTAATTTAAACTCTCGCGACATGCCTATATATTCGTACAAATTACTCTAAAATGAAAGTAGTTACCTGTAATTTCTAATTGAAGTTTGGATCATAAAAACTTTTAATGCTTGAAAAAAGAATTACAGTGTAATAGTAACAGTATTATAAGTCTTATTTATATTTCATGTTGTGTTATTCATAAATAGATAAAATACGATGAGCCTTTTGTTGTGATGTTTGTTTCAAGTTTTTCAATATAACGGGAATCTTCTTTATAATTTGTTCTTACTTTCCCATTCGTCATCGGCCTGCAGCAGCTCATGATTGAAACACGTTTAGTGTGAGAAGTGCAACGCCAAGTCGTCAGTGCGTGGATGGCACATACATTGCGGGACGCGAGTTAAAAAAAATATTTGATAAACAAGTAAAACATATAGGTAACTTTATGTGTAGAATGGGCATAATTAATAAAAATAATTTATACAGATGTCTTGAAATTATTGTTACAAACTTTTAGGGCATGTAGAAAGGACGATACTTTTTTGCCAGTGAACAAGTTGTGAAATATTTCATGTACCTAACGTAGTAATATGCATTTAAACACGTGACGTTTGTCCCTGATTTTTAGACAATCCCGTGTGTAGTTCTCGTTCGGCAGATCGCGTTTTCTCGCAGTCAAGGAAATTTTATGTACCTGTCGAATACCTGTGCTTGTGGAATTGCTAAACAATCACGTACATAAGACGGGCGTATAAATTAATATATTTCGGTTATTTGCAAACTCCTATTACGAGTTCATTGGCAAAACGTAATCACATTTGACACGCCCTACATCTTAATGCCCTAGAACTTTGTAACAGTTATTCTGACACATCGTATAAATTATTTAGTAGCAGATATGACAGGAACCTGAATCAAGATAAACCACATCTGTATACAGTATTTTGTGTTGGTTGAACTCAAATATGGTTTAAGAGAATCGCTGGGAAAATCAAACCCTCGCCGTCGACTTGCAAATGTTTGTATGAAGCTAGTCAAATTGGCAATTACTTTGCAGAGCTAACTTAACCCAATCACCTTAACTCGTTCAGCTTTTTCAATCACCATGTATTGTACAACGAATGCCGCACGTATTAATTGTTTTAGCGATTTGTCAACACCAAATGCTCGTGGGCGGGGCGGGCAGACGCACACTCTCGACGGTTCAGCTCCGCTCCTCTCTCCGTTGTGCTCGGCGCTGCGCTGCGCTGGCCTGCGCTGGGCGACGTCCCTCGAATCTACGTCCGAAGCTGCCTCAAGGTTGACTTCATTCCGTTCCTCCTGCTCATGCGTAGCGCTCCAGCTGGTCGTTTTGCGCTGGGATTCAGATGAGGACTCACCGCGCCGCGCCGCGCCTCGCAACGCAACGCAACGCAACGCAACGCAACGCAACGCAACGCAACGCAACGCAACGCAACGCAACGCAACGCAGGCTTCGCCCGCTCTTGAACGCTTCGCTCGCGCTTGCCCGCTTCGCCCGCGCTTGCCCGCTTCGCCCGCTCTTGAACGCTTCGCCCGCTCTTGAACGCTTCGTTCGCTCTTGAACGCTTCGCTCGCTCTTGAACGCTTCACTCGCTCTTGAACGCTTCACTCGCTCTTGAACGCTTCACTCGCTCTTGAACGCTTCGTTCGCTCTTGAACGCTTCGCCCGCTCTTGAACGCTTCGCTCCGGTCGCGGGGTGCTCCACTGCAGCAGCTGCGCGGCCGAGTCCTTTTGTCAGTTGCTCAAAACTCGGAAGACAGGAGAGCCCCTGCGTGAGAGAAATAAATTCTGATAGATTTTATCGCGGTTTGACATTTGTTTTTTCTTAAGGAAAGTCACGAGTGTTCATTTTAGTAGGTTACTTAAACTTAATGAGATACTTTTTATGTGAAGACATTTGTAATTTTATTTATTTTTAATGGCCTAATAATGACTGGTCTTAATCTTGAGCATGGTTTAATTAGTATTTTGATGGAGAAGTGAAAGACAATACATACATTTGCTGTCATACGGGATAAGGATGTTCGTGATAAAACTCCTGATAAAACTTAAAAAACCTAACAATCTTATTTTCATAATATGTGACTATAAAATGTGGTTGTCATTTGCGTTACTTTTAACGTTGCTATAGAGTAATGAAGACATGATAGTTTCAAGTTAGTGTGTATTTTCTCAAACCTTTTTCCGACATTTCGTTTACTTACGCAAATATTTTTGGAAACTTTTTTATGAGGAATTTCATCCACCAAACCACTTCAAGAATAAGAATCCTAGTGTTTTTTTTGTTTTTTTTGTTTCTGTGGCCTGAATTTTTTGTATTTCAAATGAACGTAGGTAGAACATCGTAACGCATATGATAACAACCAGAGATTAGATTTATTTTAACTGTTTTTAACCGGTATTTTAATCTAAAACGTTCCAAACTAGGTGAAGTTCTATGAGGAGAAGTGCAATCTAAACATGGTTTCTTGAGCTCTGAAGTCTGTTCTAAATCCTATACATAATAAGTGGAATTCTGAATTTAGGTAGCAACGAGGATTTTGGCTCCCGTGTCTCGTAAAATAAAAACTATTTGAAAAGGAAAATTAAATACAGATTTCGGCTATTCCCTTCGCAACGTAATTAATTCACTGCCGAAATAAAATAGATTTTTAAATTGAATCATTTTGCTTTGCACAACGATGTGCGGGAATGAAAAGTTATTCGTGTAAAATCGAGTAGCTTTGATGTTATAACAATATTATATTTATTTATTATATTTTTTATCCATTTGCATTTTGTTTCTAGCGGCGGTGTCAAGAATACAAATTTTCAAAGTGTATATGCCATACGAAAGTAGCGGCCATTGTTGCTTGTTGCAACCTATTGTTGGTTGCATCGCTGCGCTGATAACAGAAAGTGATAATGACAGCCGCCGTTGGTTCGCATTAATATAAATCAATAATTTTATTTATGGCTAAAATACGCATCACGCATTGTTGGTACATTTAAGTAGAACATGAAAACGTTGGATTCAATGGCTGTGTTTTCTTTTTTATTTAAGCGTTTGAATTTAAAAGAAAAATGTATTTTACGCGCTTCGTTGGTTTAAGAATTTTTCCAATGGTAGTTGAAGTGTAAGACACAAACTGCCGTATTATATCACATAACCATTAACAATATCGCGAGAAAATGTGTTATTGACTAGCCCTTATGCAGCAGAAAATATTTTACCTGGTACCTATACTTGTGCACCGTTTTAATCGTTTAATACCATCTAGCAGTGTGTTGTAAAATAATGTAGATGTAGTGTATTTCATTTTTTTGTAATGGACTATTGATTTCGAATGCAGCTGAATATGATTACTACATCGTGTGTTATAAATATCTTTAATTGCTGAAATTGTGTTCCCGTTCTTTAGGTAGTTTTGTACATAAAACACTCCCCATTAATCAAGAGGCACGGCACTGGTGCAATTCCTATCTCAATAAAGCGAGGCTTACGAGAATCACGTAGATGGGATTTGCTTATTATTCGTAGAATTCATTTCTGGAATCGAAAAGTCTGGAAGGTAGTGTGTCCCCAGAATATTATGGCTATCTCAAGAGGCAATGAACATTCCTGAAATATACACTACGAGTAATACGTGAAGGCTGACTGAATTTAAAAGAATTCTGAACGTACAGCTTAATAAACATAATATTGTGTTTAATTCTTTTCTAAGGGTATTCCATTTGAGGTTACGATTTTCTTATGGTTGATAACATGTATTACGTATCGTTTGGTCATAGTATCCGGCCGTAACCATAACATCTAAATTTCAATAGTAACGAGTTGCTTCGATGACATAAACCGTTTGTATCTCTTAAGAGGTGTAGATACAGCTATCTATTTAAAACCTTCTTACTCATTTTTGTAATAAAGCTGGCTACCTACCTGTAATAAATGTCGCGATACTGATCTTTCTTAAGTGAAACGGAAGTAAATCTTAGTTTGACAATAACACGACTTTCATGTAATTGAATTTATATTACTCATTTGCATAGTACGTCCTTAGCGCAATACCTCGTGCAATTTGACTCATTCGTTATGCATACCCCCTTGACTGATTAATTACTTCTTGTAAATTAGAATATTATATTAAATTAGGGTTTGGGCTTCCGTGGCCGGAGTCAGTAGCTGCTTGACTGTTCGGCAGACGCCGGCCCAGGTGCCAAAGCCCGTTAGATGAAATTATTAACAGGGAAGCACTGGTGATGTTTTGGTACGAATTTTTAGGAATCCGTTGTATTGCTTGTTGCGTTCTGGTGTGCTGTGGCTTTAAATCGAAAGTTCCCTTATTTAAAAATGTATAAATATGTCTCTTTATTAAACAACGACTGAATATTTACCTATTACAATTTGATACGAACACTCACTGGTTTACTGGTTTATGTGTAGTTTTGTTAGTTCTTTTTTAATTATCATGTAAATATTTTTCTGACGGTAGTAATTCAATATATATCACGGAAAATGACACTTCGTGCAGTCTGCGGGCGATAATTGGGTGGTTCAAACAACGCTACTTCTTTTAGCTTATGGTTAGGACAAATAATAGATCGTGTTACCAAGAAATATTATCGCACTGTACGTCTCGCAAGAAAATAAGTAATGAATCCCACAACTAATTTGTAACAATCGTCGGGCAAAAGGTTCTCTTAAATCTTTGACAATGAAGATCAGTATTTTGTTCTTTAAAAAAAAAACTGATACTCCCCGAAATATTAGTTGCTGCTGGTACCATTCGTCTGAAAACGAGCCGTTTGCCATTCGATAGTCGAAGGATCTGCCTTAATCCGACGCGGCTGTTGGTGTTCGTGAGAACGAAATCGCCCGCTCAGGCGCAAACGGTTCTTCGCCGGTGCAGTGGCCAGTCATCTCCGCCCGCGCCTCCGCCCGCGCCGCCCGGGCCGCGTTTGTCATCGCCGCGAGTCGCCCGCGCTGCGCGAGTGCTTACGCATCGCGTTTACAGCTCTCAGAGCCAGCTTGAGGGCCGGCCCGCTCACTGGTTGGATGCGGTAAAGCGCGGGTATTGTGTGTTCCACGTTTGTGCTAAAGCAGCTACACAACACAGCAAACGTAATAATCGCTATTATTTTCGTATTTATCTATTGTATTACTACCTTGAATTGAAATGTCTCCGAGAGACACTTAATTTTTTATATGAAACATTTCATATGATTTATCTCCTTCTCATTTCTGTGATGACTTTATATTGAAAAATTATTTATGTTTACTAAATGTAATTTTATTCGTATATTAAAATCATGGTTTAGTAGGATAGGTTAGTGAACAGATTTTGTATTAATGATGATTAGAAGCTTTAGTGAATAGATTTTGCACAAGTAAACGTATAATAATGATACATTGTTTTTTGTGTATTGGAATTGGAACAAGTTGTCAGCTCTTCGGCAATTAAATACCACATACAATGCTGGTCTAAAAATAAATACACCGCCTGCCGCACGAGTCGCATCGAATGTCGTTTGACGTCTGCGCCGAAGTTGAGACATTTTGATCGCATCATATGGAGCGAAATTATCCCTTGTAAATACTCCCTCACTCGAAGCAGTCCTTAGCCCAACTCACCTGACAGCTTATGCACTCTGACCAACATTACCCCATCTTCTGTGATCCGTCTCCAAATATTTCTACAGAAGCTTCATATAAAATTGCCTGTAACCCCCTCCCCCCGGTCCCCAAATCTTGTTTCTCCTTGGAAACTTTTCCGGCCGATTCCGGTCCATTGGGAATATTTACATGTGGCAGGTTTACTTTACCATTCACAATTATAAGTTTAGAAAACGTTGTATTTTTAAAATCTTCTTAGTGAATAAACTGGAGCCATGAAATGCAGTTAATAGAAATTGAGTACCAACGCTGACTGTTCATGTTTATAAAACTTGGTTTTAGGCTTTATTAGTTCTAGATATGTGTGTATTGAACATTGTTTCTCAAAGTTTGTAATGAAAAAAGTTCGATCATGTTGAAAATTTCCTTAGAGTGAAAGGCACCGGTATCTGAAGAAAAGTGATGTGTGTGTATCTCATTTAACATAGTATCGATTTTATGTACTTTTGGGAGTGAGTTGTTCGGAAATATTATTTTAGTAGTGACATAAACGTTCTTTTCCCCAATTTTTTTCGAAACGTCTAAAAGTTAGTGTTCGGCGTTGTAGAAATGTAGATTAAGTTATATGAAAAATACCTGAATAAAACACAGCAAGTCATTGATATGCTATTTGTATCACCATTCATTTTACTGTAATATCTTACCTCTGGTATATGCTCCATAAAACAACGGGAGGCTTGCATCGCAAATAATCGTTGGACCGCATTGCCCTCGCCTCTGGGCAACGATCCGTCGCTATCCGATACTCCAGAGTACAGCACAGGGCGCGCTATTCGGCGAACGGCCAGAAACAGCCTCGTCATTGCCGTGGAGGATGCTCGCGGCCACTACGCGAGGAATTTGAGGACTCTTGCGCGGGCAGAGTGGGAAGCGCGGAGGCGGCGGCGGCGGCGGCGGCGGCGGGCGTCTATTGTCCCGTGCAGCACGACTAGGGCTACGAAAGGGCGTACACAATTATTGGTCAGTTTAGAAAGAAAACACTGCTCTCTCTGTCCAACGTCCTACGGTGAAATCTATTTCCGAATTCGCGAGGTTATAGGTTTCATTGTGTTTCAATAGGTTCGTTTTACTAGTTCTTACAGATATTCACATTGTTACTATTAGTTCTTTTATTACTTTTTTAGACTAAAGAAAAACGTTGCTTAAATAATTAAGCGTGCATATCTGTGAATAACGGAATACATCTAAGCTAAGACAGACGCCTCTACATTGGACGCTGTTCCTCATTGGGTCAACGTTTAAAAATACACATCTGGTATATTTTTTTCTTTCCTTACACTGGCAACCAAAACTAGAATGAATATCTGTGTAAATGTATAGTGAGTTAGCTTACAACTTTTGTATTTTTAAACGCCGTTCGAATACAGGGGCGTTTTTCTGATATCACTCCCATTCTGAAAATGTTTTCTCAGTCTTTAAAATTCGCTAATTGATTTAAAAACTGTCTGAGAGCGGGAAGAAACCTTCTAAATTCACGATGATAAATATTACCCCCTCACCTTCGCACAAACGGTAATCAGGATTAGAAAGGCCATTTCTATTTCTCTTAGAGTTTATTCAAGTGAGTACGCCCGTTTTAAAAGCACTGATTTAATTCGTCTTGAAACTTTGTAAGCAATCTACCAATATTACTCGAAGGTTTCGAAATTTGGAATGGATATCAATCAACAACATCTTTATATTGGCTGCCTATAATGCATTCACCTTCAACTCCCACAGGTGATGAATCACTTCTTACCAGCGGAACGTGCATGTATGCCCATATCTAATGCGACTGCAGCCTTTGTAAGCGAAGTTTCATGGTTTTAGGCCGAGCTCCGGGATAACATTTTAATTTCAAATATATTCTTCTACGTTTTCTTTTGCTCGTGCAGCGAATTACGAATTGCAAGTAGCGGTCCAGTTTAAACTGCTTCCTCGGCAGCAGCTGTGAGTTGTAATGCGCCGCGCTTCTCGGTGTAATTCTGAGGCGACTGAAAGACTGCGTAAGCAGTGTGGCTGTGAACGTCGCGATCCTTATACAGCCAGCGCTGGAGTTTGTTTTCCTGATGGGCGTTTCGTAATTGGGCGATGTGCCGGCTCCGAGGTCGCCCGAGCCTCTCCAGAGACCTTCCTTTACCGCTAATGACTCCATTTTGTGTTATGTCAGTTGGCGGATTGCGGCGAAACAAAAAGCGCTTCTAATCGTGTCGAATCCCGAATCTAATCGCCTGTCGCAAGAAATAGGTTGTGTATAGTGTATGTAGTGTTGCTGTGTCGCAATAATTCATTAAGACCTTCTACTCCCATGTCGCGTGGGAAACTTGTAGGTGAAAGAGATATTGAGCAATCTTTGCGACGACGTCTATTACCAACAGAATGACCATTGTCTCTTGAATGTTTCATTAGCATTATGATAGTCTTTTGTCTTATAATTTCTGCGACTTCTCGAAGAATGTGATAGTCGATATTTCACAACAATGTAATTTAAATGTAATCTGCTCTATAATTCATTCGATTCTTATACCATTTATGTGGCGACAAGATTCGTACTCGTACATCTTGTCCAATTTATACAGTTCGACTGTTTTTTCTTTCTATGTTAATTTCTTTTCCTGAACAAATATATTTATCTCTTGTACATAATAAACAATTTACATGTTTCTGCAATGCAAATATTTGAATATAAAGTATTTTTTCAAACCAACGTTTGAGTAGTTATTGTGGCTCAGCCTTTCCGAATATCCAATGAGGTTTTTTTCGCTTTTTAACTTTTTAGTGTATTTCTCTTTCAAAAACGTAAGCGATGTCAATGCTGAAATATAAACATAATATTTCCGATAGTCATCTGATAAGATTGCAATTGCTGATATGATTGCAATTATAAGAGGAACACACAGAGTTGTGATTTTAAAAAGTGGACATATGTAAAGCTAGTTTTTTTTTTATCAAATATCGCGAATATTTTTGCGATTTTCTCAACATTTTACCCACGTCTCATAATTCCGGAAGCGCGTAATCAATGGAAGTACATACAGCATTGGCCATTTCAAGCAAACCAACAACTTTCGATGTTTCTGACGCGCACAGATCTCATTCTTTCCTGGTCATAATGTGGAATGGCTGTAAAAAATATCGTCAGGTAGAAAACGACAATGTATTAACTTTCTTTGGAACTAGGGAACTTGCAAAAACTCTCTCACGTGACTGCAGGTACATTTGCGGCGTAACACAGGCTGCGACAGTTTTATGTGGAGTTCCGCGGCGCTGTGCGTGCGTCGAGACCCGCCCCCCTCGGAGGCTGCGGCAGCACACAGGTCGCCTCCGTTTCTCAGCTTTCCCGGAAAACCCAAGGTCATTTCGTTCGCAGTAAAAGTATCGCGATCCAAACGCACTGGTGCAGTTGCATGGCGCAGCGGTCTCCTCAGACCTGCCGCCCAGGAGAATGCTTTTCGAGGAGTGTTTCGCTCTGGGGAGAGAGAAAAAAAAAGTGCTGTGCAAATACTGCGTTGAGAAGAGACGCAGAGCCTCATTACGAGAAAATAATGTAAACGGTTAGGTCAAGAAATGTTTTATATTACAAGAGCTATTTATAAAACCTGTTTTACACTGGGTTTTTTAATTTACGTCCTATAGCGATGTATGGGACCGATGTTTATGAGTGTATTGTATTCACGTGAATTATTAATGAGGCTTAGATTTGGTCTAATAGTAGTCTTATTCGTATATCGTAATGATTTGAAACGAAAATGGGAAAATTCCCTTATTTTAAAAAGAACCAATGTGTTTTAATTCCCTCGAATTCACATTCAACAGTTATTTATTATCTTATGTAAATTTATTGTATAATTAAGATCTATTTAATCAGGGTGCCATTTTATTCTGCTTCAATCTACGGAAAATTGGGATAACTCATGTGTAATAAATGCGATTCATAAACATCGGTAAACTCCAGGTAATCAGCTAGAACTCCATAATTAGTAGCTCACTCCTCAAAAAGTTAGTGACCAATACTATTGCGAGTGTAAGTCAAATATTATAAAGACTTTTCCATTTTACAATATTTATATGAAGGTAGTGTTTTATTATGCACATCATTTTTCTACACAATCTCCCTCCTTACAAATGCACTTGGTTCAATGGTCAACAAGTGTATGTGTTTCTTCTAAATAAAATGTTTTTGCCCGGCATTTTGCATGTCTAAATCTCAGGTTAATCGGCTACCTCGCACAGCATCCTTGTACGGAACAAACAAGTGATAGATGGGGCCTAATCTAGGCAGTAGGGATGGTGTTTCAGTAACTCAAATTTATTATTGTCGATGGTTTCAATACTGTGAAAAGCCATGTGTTGCCGTGCATTTTCATGAAACAATAAAAAGTGTATTGGGCAGAACCAAAACTAATGTTCATAGCAATTGCTACCTCATCGATTGTCATACGCCTGTCAGCAGAACTATCTCGAGCTTACTGGATGGTGTAACTGAAGTGGTGTTTGATGGCCGCCTTGCCCCCTCCTCTGACGTTACACTTGTTCGGCCCCTTTTAAACCTCCCGATGAACAACAACACACTTAATAGACCAGTTTATCTATATTGAGATGATAGTTTGCGATGTGCTTTTTCACCTTATTAAATCCTTCAATCTGTGGAATCGAATCACTGCTCGCTGTTTTCCTTTGGTGCAAACTTTTAATCGAGGGGCTGTGATCTTTCTTCGGCAGAAGGAAGAACGAAGACGGAATAATTATCGTAGCATTATCCCAACAGAATAGGAATAATAGCGAGGGCTGAAGTCCGTGGGCACAATGCAATGTAAGATTTATGTCAATTGTGCACATAATATTTCACTCCCCCTCGTATATTCTTATGGAGCCGTTTTTTTTAATTATGAGACCAAGGTTGTAATCGAGAATTTATTCCGGAAGCGTCATTCAAAACTCGAGGGAGAGATAACAATTGAAAAGTGGTAGTAGAAATCTTACGTACCACAGCCGGACTACATCCTAAGAATGTTCTATAGAAGGAATTTTATTTTCCGATATCTTCGATTGAATACATGGAAATCATCAGTGAAACTCCTCGATATAAATTAATGGTCTCCCTAACCGGGAGAAATGAGTATTTTTCCAGCAGCGAGACAAACTCTAGAAGAGGAAGTCCTCCCTTTAACACCAATTTGCACCGTGCACGTGACGGATACGTCCCTGAGTCTTCGCGGCCCAGGAGGGACTTGGTCCACTACATTGAGCGCCGTCTCGCTTTTAGGTAAGGAGGAGGTGCGATCTTGCGGTGCAGCGGGCGGAGCGCTGCGGAAGTGGCCGTCGCGGGAGGGGTGAACGACTCTGGGCGGCGCGAGGCGGCACGCCCCTCACCGCCACGATCCGCCCCGCTCCACGCCCCTGCAACGCTCTCTTCTCGCGACGCGCGGGGCGGACGCTAGCGTGGAAGATGGGGCTTTGCGAGTAGATCCGTGGATGCCGTAGACGCTGTCGGCTCCAGAAAGTGAGTGAGGGAGAGAGACACGATTCCAGGCTGTGGTGAACTACTCGTACTTAGTTTCAGCTGGAAGGTGGCGGAGCTGATCCTCCCGCTCATACTCGCATTGCGGCGCCGACTGTGTAACTGTTAGCGTATCGGACTGTTATAACTAAGTTCGCGGGTGCACACGCGATCGAAGCCGGGGATTTTTAAGAGCGAGAAAATCCTTCGTACGCCTTTCTTCGGAGGGGAAGTAAAGCCGGCTGTCCCATGTTAGTAGATTTACTTGCATGTAAAAGATCCTCAAGCCTAAATGACGCCTCGGAGCTAAATTTAAATCGCCTGTTTCTCGCCTAAATATCTCCTTTCTATGCTAGTTGGTGAAAAGAGCGTAGGTTTGCGTGGTCAGGCGAAAGAGCGGGCCTAATGGCCTGCGTCTCGCCACGTAAAATGAGGAATTAATTCAATTCAATCTCGCTGATACTCGTAGGAATGACCTGGTGCTGATCTACAATTCGTTTTTTTATTAATCGACTGTTAAGTGGTCCCGGGCGCGTCAACTGCTAAGGTCATTAACCCGTAAATGTAAATGTAGGGCTCTTATTCCCTCGGGAGGTGGTGATCTCGCCGCACTGCACGATGAGATCCGGCATTCTTTTGGTACTGTTCAGAGACAACAACCGCTGCGCTCTAGAATTCTCTTCCAGAGTTTGAATTCGCCCTAGCTACACTGCCAGTACCTAACATCCGCCAACGTCGTGCCTCGAAGGCCCTCTGGAGGTAACGGCAATGCAGTCTTTGAAACACCGCAGCCAGTTCGGCTCAGGAAAGCTGGCGGGATGAAGCGTTGGGGGCGCAGTATAGGCAATGTCAGACAACGAAGTGGGATCAAATAGTACCCAGTATATTAAGACTGGTGTACGGCAGTATTATTGTCTGTAGATAGTGAAAGGCAATGACCAAGTACAGTTTATGTTATTTCAATCATAATATCAGAACATTACAGTCTAGGCAATATTTAAAAAGTACCTTAAGAAAACTAAGAAGTCAATAATTATATCTTAAGAGTATGCAGATTTGTGCTTAATTTTTTTAAATATTTTAAATTTTATTATAGAAAAGTCATGATACTAATCCAGGTGTGTGCTATTAATTCGACTGATGCTATCAATAAATGGGCGTGGAAAAGGAATACTGTAAGCATTTAGTAACTCGTATTTTTCGGATTCACAAGATATTGAAATATACATCCCTATTATACTGTTATATTGTGCTAAATGCTTTGAGAATATTTGTTTAGAAAGTAGACCAAAAACATTGAACGCAGAGTTCTCGGGTATGATTTGTCGGGAATTTGTGTTAATTAGCGAGACTTGATAAAGTTATTTAAGTGATGTCCTGTTAAGGGTTCTATTTCAAATTTCTTCCTTTTTGCTCTGGAGACATCGCCTACAAATTCAGATTTCCATGAAAAGAAACATCGTAAGCAGGCTGGTGCATCTCATCAGACCCCCTCCCCCGTAAGTCAGGGCCACCGAATGAGTAATCCTGTAGACTCTAAATAAAGGTGGGATTCCTGTCCAAAATATTTGTAAGATATCGTTTGGTAAAAATAAAACTTTAACAAATTACACCGTAGAATATTAATTAAGGATATTCCTTATTATTGCTGCAATTGAATGTGAAAGAATTATGTGAAGAAAGGATAACAACAAAAAACAATGTACTAGAGGATCAGTAGCTGTCAGAGGAGATTTTCAGAACACGTCCGCCACTTCGTCTGTTTACTCCCATCACTATCCGCTGTGCTATTTTGCAGACAAATGAATTAGTAACGGTCGTTAGTACACTATGCGATGTAATGGCAACAGCACAGAACGTATACACAGCAACTTTTTTGTGTGTTTTACAAGATATTCGATTTGCGTTGTTTCCTGTGCTATTTTAGTTTCCGGACGATCATTTTACGAATTTATTTTCAGATGAAGGCTAAGAATTGAGAAACTTGATGACAGTGATTTCTTTGTTGATTCTATCTAATTTATAATGTAATGCGTACATAGATAAATTCAATGTAAACCCACCAATATTGCATTTGTCCATCGGAGTTGGGGCCTCTAAGAACGTAGCTACGCCGCTGAGCGTAAGCAGCAGTGAGAGAAGCGGCCGAAGGCGGGATGGCGCGACGTTCGTCGGGGAAAAACGTCGCCAAGTGCCCGGAGTGCCTCGCTCGGGCGCAGACCTTGCAATCGCCGCCGACGTCGGGGCTAAAAAGTGCGGCGAAAGCGACCATCTCCAGACTCCGACCGAACCAGGCGCGCTCGGAGGCTGCCAATACGACACCGATTTTTTGTCGGAGAAAATTTTTGCTCATCTGTGCGCGGAACATCTGAACTGGGAGGCGAGTTGCCAGGCGGAAGAAATTCCTGAGTGGACTGATTAATTCTATATTGCAGTACTGTTTAGAAATTTTATCCCAATTGATGCAGGTCTTATTGCGGTCAGTTCGAGCTCAACTCGCGCACTGAAACGACCTCCCCACGAGAGCTCGTGGTTCCCAATATCGGTGAACGTTTCAACTAGTTTTCTTATCAGTGCTTTCTTATGTAGAGATAAATAAATCACAACCAAATTCGGAGTGGCCCATATCCAAAAATGCCCCATTGCATTATATTGTGGCCTACCCAACTTGTCATATATTGTGTAAAATCTGTTGGTTAAGACTTATAACATTATAAAATCGACCCTAACCTCTTCTTATATCAAGAACTGGTGAAATATGAAAAATACCAGTTGCCCTTCAACAGGGCAGCTAATATCCTCAGCGACAGCTAAAGTAAGTGATACAAATTTATGTGAAAGTCACAGTGAAGTGCAAACTACTACTTAGATCCGAAAATTGCTATACTAGAACAACAAATTATACTTCTTTAACAACAAGCTCAAGAACTGAAGGAAATTGTGAAATATCAACAAGAAGTAATATAATCCTTTCAAGAAAGTGTACATTGTAACCTACAATGTGACATTAGCCCTTTAACTAATCAAAATTTGGAGAAAAATCACAGTGAATGAAAGAACCTAAAACGAAAAAGACTTGAATAACAATGCAGTGAACATTCCACACAGTCAGACTCAACGTCTAACATAAGTACTAAAACATATTTACTCCATAAAGTAATCGCTACTCATCCATATTCTCTAGTCCTGCTTATAACGTTTTAAACTAGAAAAAACAAAACCAATAAATTTACGAATCTAATTTAAGTTTTACAAAAGATCTGCTACTACCTTCTTAATTTGACTACTATATACAAATGACATAAAGAAAATGATATTGAAGAAATATTGCAATTAAATAAAACAGGATTCGTGTCTGAAAAAAAAAAAGATTTAAATTTACTGCATTAGTGGTGCAAGTTTGCTTTATTTTACCGGAGCATTATTTTTATACTGAAAGCAATGTAATTCTTGGATAGAGTACCTGGTTCGATGTTATTTAAGAAGCTTTCGACTTCACCTTTACTCGCCTACGTTACATTTCATCACATTGTACATTGTACGTGCGAAGAGTAAAATAGAGGAGTGCTCGACCTGTGCAGAGGTTTAGCGATCTGCATGAATGTTCCAATGGAAAAACAAGCGACGTAGAACATGCGAAGGTCTGCTTACAGCTAGTTGGACGCTCCGAGTTATGACTTTATCTCGCGCGATCGACACTCGTGACGAGCCAACAGCCCGAGCGTCATTAAGGAGCGAGGGTTCCTTTGCGCTACACCAGGGAAAGTATTGCTAGCGTATTGTCCGAACAAATGCTTGTGACAATTGGTTCCGAACGATTTTGGCTGTCTGCTTGGTCATCAAAGTTATCAATTTTCGAAGCGCTGGAGTGAAGTCGTTCAAAATTGCAGCAATATATTTGAAACGTCTAGGCACAGTCTACAAGACAACCAACGCGGAGAATGCTCTTCGTGTTCTTTTATGTGCACTGTAGGATTGACAGTGAATTTGCATGTTGAAATTAAACAGTGAAAGCCAAAATTTATTATATCTCATTTGCCAGCAAATTTTAAAGAAATGACTGTTCTTTTCTGGACTCCGACAAACATTCCAATGGGAAAAGATAGTTTCTATTACTTTCCGAATTTTCAATTCTGAGAATAACTATTACTCTTTTTTAAATTTTCTCTGATTTTCAACTCGCAGATTGAAGTTACCACAACAACGTCGTAAATTGATGAGTTATGGTACGTGCATACTGATTTAATAATCATGCTTATAATTGATCTTTTCAAGGCTAATCGACTCTTCGAAATTGATTGTAAGATTCGAGATATCCAGCACCGATGATCCTTTAATACTAACAAAGCAGCAAACGTATGCATCCGGGAGCCAATTATGCGTTGGCAATTCTTTACATTGGCTGACGACATTTTCCCCGACCCGAGCAAACAAGAGGGGCCAAGCGCAAACATTTGCCGCAAAATACTCGGAGCGTCGAGTGTCGGTCTTGCGGGGAGCTCCTCCACCGCCCCGAGTGGCAACCCGGAGACGCGGCTGCCAACAGCGTAGACGCCGCCCCCTCACAAGCGCGTTCTAGCGGCTGTCTAGCACGTGTTCGGTTCATCCGCTCTCACAAAGACACGCGGAACCCGCACGGTATATTTCCTTTAATTAGCTCTTGGACTAGTTATGGTATGGTATTAATGTTTCAAAATAAAGTAGCCAGACTCGCAAAATTCTACGTCAACATATGATCAACATTCACCTCCCCCTCTCGTTTTCGTGTTTTCAAATTCTCTACAGTTTTAGAAATAATATTAGATATAACAAAATACTTAGGGGTCAAATTATTTTATGTTTATTGGTTCGTTTATTAAGTGTTATTTGTTAATTTCTAAATCACTTTGTTTTGGAAGAACTTAACGTTTTAGTTTAGAGAAGAAATGTATTTATTGATCGCCGATTTTTGTTATTCATCATCAACTGCTCTGATGAGTACTGAACATGTGGAAGAGCCTCTTAAAATTACGAAAGCTTTGCATGCTTGAGATTCGAAGGCACTTGATCGCACTTTTACCACACACTTATCCTTTAGTTAACTAGTTAACGTCTTCCTTAATGACACATATTCAAATATTCTTCGGTGTTGATGAATTCTTATAATATATTAATTTAGATGCAACACCGAATGCCTTTCTTTTCGTCCTTTCCGCTTTTGGTATGTTTTAATTATTTCAAACTTCATCGATAAATTGACAACTGGTAAGGCAATAGCCACTTCCCTTTAATTGATAAGGAATAATTGTTCAGTGTGCAGAGAAAGTAATATTGTTGGTAATTCAAATTCTGATGAGCTTGGAAGTTTGGATGAGAGAATTATAAATATTACTCATATGTTTTATGGTAAATTATCTTTTCAGTTAAAACACCATTAAATATTGCAACCATGCAATGAAAATTAATATTCTATGAGTATTGTACCATGTTCATTAGAGTCCCTCTACTTTGTGTCATATGTTATTTATGTTGACTCTAAATGGTACCCGTGACACAACGGAAAGCAGTCAGGGAATTTTTGCGATGTAGAGCACTTATGAGCAATTACTTGTTGCTGTGAAACGTTTTTTATGAAAATGTATAAAACGATAATGAAAATAATTATTTTAAATCTAATCTGGCATTCATTTCTTTGCATTTTCAAGTATTTTTTTCTGAAATCAATTTCCCAAATTTATATTTCAAATGTTATCACATTTATTTAATTCCTGTTCGTGGTTTTGCCTGCAAAATTGGATCTGATTAATGTAATTGAGTTTCATTGTATTAATTTATTCGGACCTTTGTTTCACGTGATTCATTAACACATAGCTATAAATATGTGAAGGTTAAAACTAATAAATTAGTTTGAACTTATAAAAAGTTTTAACATTCATATATTGATGGTTGTTCGGGACCAAATAATCAATACAAAGAAATGATTTAACAATGTATTTTAAAATACTCTGTAAGAGTTTCTCTTAAGTTTATTTTGTATTTTTGTTGTGTAGGGGACTTAAGAGAGTTTACTTGTTGCTATTAAATGTTGGAAGGGAAAATATTTGGTAAAATCATGTCAATGAAATTAAAGGTACTTTTTATTTACCAAATTCTCTTCAGCAAGTGCATTTAGGGTATAGTTTTCAAAAAATACTTTAATTGATGTGCTATCATATACGTACATATTCCTCTTTTTCAATCGAATTTTTAAAATTTAACAGTTATAGGAATCAAATTTACGGTTATACTTGTCCAAATTTAATTGATGTATACAATTAACTGACACAATTTTAATTTTGAAGTTGGCCGTACTAGTTTTAAATTGTCTTGCTTATTCACAAATTTATGTAATTCTGCAGATTTTTATAAATTCTTGACTGCATAAGCAACATTACGATTTAAAACAACAGGTACGAGTATAAAACAAAGTATAAAAGGGTATAAAACAGTAGTTCAAACAAACATGTAGGTTGATGCAAATAATTCCATTGTTGGTTTAGAAATGTGGGTAGTTGAACCACTCACTGAAGTTCCGAGAGTCAACAACGAAACAAACATTTTATGGTTCAGTATATCATATAGACATGGGTACCACCAGTCAAAGCGGTGGTTCAGGGCCCCATGGAGCACACATGAAGCCTAGAAAGTGTCAAATAAAACTGTGCCAAATTTTACCATGGATTCTAGTTGAGATAACCACTATTCTGGTTGAGATAACCACGTTTTTGTGTGCGGCAACCATTTATTTTCTTCATTGTAATGTATTTAGTGAACGTACATCTCTCACTTTATTTCCCTGACAGGTTCGTAAACATCTGAGAAATTTTAAAACTTAAATTACACAATAAACGCCACTAACGTGCCGAAATTGGAACCTATCTCGCGACGACCATCTTCTCCGCGGGCGCCAGCAAACGTGACTGCCACCGCCCGCAAGGCTCGCCTCCCTTCGTCTGGGGACAGCCGCCCCACGCGTGCGGCGCCAAATTACCCGAACCGGAGTCCGTGCGGCGCGGCCTGGCGCGGCGGGGCTGCGACGGGCACTCGCGCGCATTCCAAGGCGATTACCGCACTCGGAGACGGCTTGGAGCGGCCGGGCGGAGGGCGGGCGGGCGCGAGGAAGAAGGAGAGGCGGCGGGAGCGAGTGAGAGGGAGAGAGGGAGAGGGAGGGAGCGATGGCGGGCGCGCGGAGAAAAGCGCCCATCGCGCCCCGCAGCCTCCTGCAGGTCCTCGCAGCGCGGAATGGCATTGCGGCCCCGTGGGTATGCGCGCGGGCGGTGGCGGAGACGGGCTGCAGACGCACTGCGCTCCCTGGGGATGACAAAGGCGACGCCTCGGCCGATCGGCACCAGAGTCACCAGCTCGGCTCTGCGAATACGAGCAATCGTATTCCTAGAGAACTGCAGAGCGAGCGTATGCAGCTGGACTCGCATCAAGAGGTAGCACACTCAAACTGTTAGCCAGACTTCGAAAGCACAGTAATGAATTTTATTGCCGCATACAGGAATTTAAATGAATCGGAATCCTCCAATTCAAATAAAGACTAAACGAGTTGTTGATTAAATTCTGAATTCATATTCGTTTGAAATGGGTTATTAATCACGTTATAAACCACACAATCACCATATTTCAAGTTCTGTTTGCATCTCTATTACTTTCCCTAAGATGTTTTCTGAAATTTGTGAAATAATATTAAAACAAAAACACAACAAACTGCGTTGATAATTTAGACGGTTAATGATGAGTGGTGAGATATCGAGCATTCGATTAAAATGGAAGAACCCAAAGAAAGCTCGACGTGGTTTTATTGTGCGTTTCTTCTGATCGCCCCTCATTGACTTGAAGAGAACCGCCAGGTAGGCCGGTGCCGCCGTGTGACCTCTCCGAGCTCCGCCGATGGTCTGGGAGTGGGATGGGCGGTTGGCGACGGCGGCGCGCACGGAGCAGCGGTGCCCGCGCTGACCTATCCCGCGCCTCCCGCGGCCGCCCCCGCCGCCCGCGCCGCGTCGCACCCCAACGTCCCGCGCCGCCGCAACAAAGGCGAGGGTGAGGCGGGTTAGGGCGAGAACAGCGCGCGGCGAACCGTGAAATGGAGCGATCTGCGCCGGCGACGACTCGATTGTGCACGCTGCTGTAGGCTGAATGTGTGTGAGTGCGTGCGTGGGTTGGAGGGGAGGTGTAAGAGAGTGGGAGGGAGGTAGTAAATGTTTTCACTCCATCTTTACTCGGTTTGCGGTTGCCGTACTTCGTAAGCTTTCTTTTCATTCTCATGAAAATTCCGCTTATGCCCCTGAAGTGTCCAAACGAAACTATCTTCGTTGTTCAGGAAAGATACATTTCGTGTTTTTTCTCTATTTGTGGCCTTTGCTCAAAGGTCAAATTCTGGATCCTAATTCTATTTATGAATTTCAATTGATAATGAAATTAAAAACCATTATCAAAACACATAATGTCCAAGCAATCGTAAATAAATTTCTAAGTTACCAACCATTTTAATTGATGTTACAATTCTGATTGTAATCCATTTTTAAAGACACACTGTTCTTGAACAATACTTTAGTTTAAGGTGTTTCTATTACAACACTCAATGCCTTTGATTGGAAAGAAAATACTTTAAAGACTTCACATCGTAAGCCACCTTTTAAAGATTTATAATCGTTTAAGATCTTGTTATTATGATCAGAGATGAATTGTTTTATAGCAGATTGAGGAATTTCAATGTTTTCCCCAAACGCTTCCTGTGCCAGCAACTCGTGAGGGGCAGCGCGCGCGTTGCTCGCGTATCTCCTCGCAGAGCGAGACGCTAATTTCATTCCTCGCGGAGACGCGGCCGCGTCACCGGCCTTCTCCGCCGGGGCCTCTGGCAGCTCTACGAGGCGAGCGGCGCGGCGCGGCGCGGGCTCTGGAATCTCAAACACTTGCAACGCGCGGCCATTAAACCCTCTGCCCTCGGCGCCGCCTCCGCCGACGCCGCGCCGCAGCTGCCCGCACCACGCCCTCTCCAGTCTCATGTACTTGGCGTCCAGACTCTTCAGCCATGGAAGAAGAATTGTCACGTGTACTCGTTTTCTTTTCACTCGCGTTTTCTTTTTAATAAATACGGCTTGTGTTGTTTATTCTGTTAAATAAGGCACGTGATGATCTTGGCGTGGGATCGAAGTAAATAACCCTTCTGATTCAACAATACGAAAAATTTATGTAGTTTAATAAAGAATAGGTTGAGTCCTTTTGTTCTGAGCCTTCGCAATTAGGCGTACTTTTTTCTCGACCTCAATTATCTAGATGCCCTTTTTCAGGCAAAATGTTGCGATGAGTATAAAAAACGGCTGCGGACATCAGATGTGAAACTAAAAGTATAAATTTATGAAAAAATCATTTTAAAATTTTGTATATTCTTCAAGAATTTATTTGAAGATTTTATTAAATTGAATATTAAACTAGATAACTGATTTGTACATTATTTTCATTTATTACGTACTCTACTAACGATTTCATAAAATTGTTTCAGATGTGCTTTCCGTCGAAGATTTACTTGTTGGTTGTGAGCAAAGTGGAATTGTGAACCTGATTCCAATAATTCTCGTTGTTTCAGTAGATCGTCGTTGTATATCTAACTCTGTCATAAAATCGTGTAATTTAATCGTACGAGTCGAAAGGATCGTATAGAATATCTCACGTTTTTGTCGTAAGCAATAAAATGGCCTGGAACAACTTCCTAAAGTAAAAAAAAATAAAATTTGGTACCTCATCAATTTATTCAACTGTTATTTGAAATGTACTCGTACCTCTCTACCTTACGCAAACCGATGGCGAAGAAGCCACCGAAGAGAGACTGCCAGCAACCAACCAGTGGCTCGACAACGTTCTCCGGGTCAGCGTCCAGAAAGGTTGCTCAGAAGATCAATTGGAGGGAATTGAAGAGCGCAATAGAACTCAAAACGGTCTGGCAAGTGGCTCCACACTCAGTGATTAACCTCGAGTTCAACTGTGACAGAGAGTGGAATAAAAAATATTACGGCAGAATTGCTGTAAAATATTTGTTTGTAAATGGAGTCGTTCTGAAATAACTGAAACCTAAAATTGCTGCCCCTGATCCTTGGTCTAAACTCGCAATAGAGCTTGACGATGATATACACAACGTACGATAAATGAAAATGTGTTTAATCTGTTGAATAAATGTAAACGGTTGAAGCAGTTTTCTTTACTTTCTACAGTCAATTCTACATTCGAAATCCAAGAATTAACATTGTACAGTATCGAGATAATCTGAGATATATAAGAATAGTTTTCTATATCGGTTATAGTATACCTTATATTCGTAAAAACAAAATAAATTGTGAGTGAACAATGAGTCACTCAACATGCTTTGTCGATTTCCCAGTTCTAATAGAACACCGTACATTTTACAAACAGCACGAAAAACATCCTTAAATGAAATGTTTATACGTAGTAAATTCAATAATATAATTGATATGAATCGGGCATTATGATTAATGAATTGTATTCTTTTGCGTTATTAAAATCATTATTACAAAATTACTCGTGTGTGTAGCAAAAATATAAGAATGATTCCAGCAACAAATGTGCTATGATTCCCATTAAAAAGGATTTTTTTAGCCAATTCATATCCCGTTAAGGGCAAGGGAAATCGTTCTCAGGGCGCATTAAGGCACCCACGTGTGTGGGAGGCAGGTGAGAACGAGGCGGCTGCGAGGGACGGGGAGCGGAGGGGGGAAGCCGCGAAGGAGCCCCGGCTTCCTTCCGGATGGCTCACGTTTTCGCCCGTCAGCAGAGGGCCTCTGACGTCTCTCTGCTCCGACGGGACGCCCCGCAAATGCCCCTCGGGGCTGAGACAACTCCCGCGCCCACTCACCCCCAAGTCTTACTCTCGAGGGAGTTACGTTAGTGCAGCAAGTAAAGTGCAGTGCAGAGAATGTGTGGGCTGACAGAACGGTTATGTATGTACAATGTAAATAAACCTCGACTGTTGTGCGAGTGAACAAGAAAATCTCGTCTCATAAAATTGATCACTTAAAACTGGACCTTTTTTAGTATCAAATTAGGAATGCCGACGAGCACATAGAATTTATATGATGAGATTTAAATATACTAACAATTTTAGATTAAGGAGAACCCTTACTGAACTGGCTGTTCAATCCGTAAGGCAGAAACATAAGGCTGTACGCCCTAGAAAAAAATATTTAATTCATTTCCAATTGGAGTGCAGCAATGGCATTCCGCGCCGCGAAACGGCAGCTGGATTTTGTGAATTGCGTCTCATTGTTGAGACATGCTTTTGCTGCATGAGAAGCTATGATGGTAAAATTTGTGTTGATATTTGTTTGAAAATATTTATTTTTCGCACAAAATGTTCTACGATTTGAGTTTTACAAAAAATTATGGCCAGATGTGTTAATTCAGAGATAAATACTGTGGTATAAATAGTATTATATAACCATTACTAAGGGCGAAACCGTACGTGGTGATTTAGCCCCACCAGTTTACTAATCAATTATATTTTGAACAGGAGTCATTTCATGATTATGGGTTCCAGGTTTTCACTAACCACACCACTCCCATGAAACTGAGCAGAATGCATTTGCTGTAACACTGCTAAAAGGCGGTAACGTTGTCTGAAACCATGATTAATTCAACACCTGCTACTGTCCAAAATGGGAACGTTGACGAATAGTGTCTTATTGTTACCTCGTCTGTGATGATGTCATGAAATACCCACATGGAATTTTAACGTGTGAGCAAGAGCAGACACGCCCTCTTTGTCAGAAAGTGTTTAGGGAATTCTTGTTTCCACCCAGACATTATTGTCGTCGTTGGTTTATAAAAACACATTGTTCCTTGTATGACCAATCTGCTGTATCGATGCCAGTAACTTTCTGTGATGTATGGTTGTCGAAATTAGCGCTCTAAGATGCAAATCAGATCGTAATATGCACAATGTGTTGGGCTTGGAATGCCTTGGGAAAAGGTTTTTCAATGGCGTGTGGTGCGAAGGCATTCCTTCTCGACTCATCGGGAGCGCAGGCCATTGCTGATGCAACGCAGCGACTTTCCCTGTCAGTTGGGAAGCTCCTCACGTTTGTTTCTATGTTGCTGAAGTGAATATTGGCGCCCAACATGGGTTGGAGAAAGTTTTGGAAGTAGATGCATATCTGATGGATGTTCACGCTTCGTAGAGCATAGTTCTCTCATTGTCATTGCACATTTGCAGTCTCTATTTGTTAGCAGATCTTCGAAAATCGATATTCACGAGAGTTTGCGGTGATGCTGTAATACCTTGATAGTGAAGGTTTGAGACGTAGAACACGAATGATCGTATAATATTGTGTTCGCATTTTATAGTTTGCATATGATCTTTAGTATCTGCCACACATTTGATTGCACTGATAAGCTTATATGTTTATCGTGTTGGAGGTATTGAAATATTATTTACTGATCATTGATCATTTATTGCTGTTCCATGTATTTTCTATCAGCGACTGATCGAGAACAGTCGCAATAGGTGCTTTATCGTAGGCGATGATGGTCACATCGTTTCAGTCAAGCTGATTGTATTCAGTGTACAAAAATTCTTCTTCTGTTAAGAGCATACAAAGGTGTCGTTAATAAAAAACACAAATAATGAGGCAAGATTGAGTAAAGTTGAACTTTTTAAAATAATTCTTAGCTGTACTTGAATAGTGTATTATTCGAATTTGACGATCTCACTGTGAAACAGTTATTAGCTTTACATTAAAATTGTATATTTACAATAAAATCGTGGCAGCTCTGCTGTAATCTCTTTGATTTAGGGAGTGATCATTGTAGAACACCTTATTAACTATTTGAAGAAAAAGTAGGATTTGGTGAAGAAGCAACGAGGAACAAAAAGAGAGAAAGGAAAGAAGGAGGATGAGGAACTGGAGATGAGAAGGAAGGGGAGGAAGACAAGGAGGGGAAGATGGAAAGTGATAGAGAGTAATTGGGAGAAAAGAAGAAAGGCGGAGGGGACGAAGGTGGTGGAAGAGGGTAAAGAGGTTCAAAAAGAGAAGTTAGGGAGAAAGAAGGAAAAGGAGAAAAGGAGGGGGGAGAGTGAACGAGACGACGGGAGTAGAAGGCGCAGGAGGAGAAAGGGAATGAATGGTGGGCGAAGCGAGGGACAAGAAGGGCCGCGGGCGGGCCCTGGGCGCTGCGCTGCTGGGCGCACAGCCTCGCGCCCTCCGCATTCCGCTTTCTGGCCGTAAAGCCGAGAGAGCAGGTTTATTAGCCCAGACGCAGGCGCCCGCCGCTTCCGTGTTACTCGCACTCGGATCCACCAGGTACTCGGAAGTAGCGGGCTAGCGATCGGAACGGGCGCGCAAAGAAAACTCGCTCCATCGCGGAGGGTCCCGTTAATTAAAGCGACCGCCATAGCTCCGTTGCCACCGACGCTCCGTTGGCTCGGCCCCGTCGGAGGCGCATACTCTAGCTTAAGTGGTGGGTTGAATTCAAGATCCGTCTGGGAGAATTCCGGAAACCGACTGCTCTGATTAGTAGTTTTCCGAAGGTTATTCGATCAGTACCAGGCGAGTGCCGGAAGCGAACCTTCCTGAAGAAATAGGCCACGAAGTGCACAGCATCGTTCCTTCCTCGCCCTTGCCCCTCCTCGCCCCTCACACACACACACACACACATACACACACACACACACACACACACATACACACACACATACATACACATACACATACATACACACACACTTCGCGCATTACACTATCGCTTTGTCAGGCCTGAGCTCAGAGCTTGCCCTGCTGGCGGATGCCACATTGAGGGAGAACTCGGTGTAGGTCGGTCCTGTTTGGGTGGGGGAGGAACACTGGCACAACCAGAGAAAAATATATTCCCTTCGCTTAGCGAACAAGTGATCTAACATGTTTGCTCTCTCGGAATGTATATAATCATCGCGTACTTTGAAATTAAATGATTTTATTCGTGTCGGTTTAATTCTCTAAACGAAGCATAATTAGTTTATTTTTAAAGAGTTGGACAACGCCCATGCGAGGTAACTTTTATTCCAGTCATATTTCCTATCGACGTGCTTTGCGTGGTACATTGCAGTTGCCATGTGACAAGGATAGCAACACACGCATTTTGTGTCACAATATTGTTCTCTATTTGTCGGTAAATATGAAACTAGCTACTGACCGTATTTGGAGGAACTGAAACGTTAAGTATTGCGTGACATGAATAATTTATAACGGATGATTTCATAATCCTTGTTCTCGGAAAAAGGTATCTTGCCTTTTAAACCAACCTCACGATTCCCACTTCGTTACTTTCGTCACGTTACGACATCCCTAGTACCTTTTGCTTGTCAACATTGTTTAGGGGGCCCGAGTATGACAATGTAAATTTGATCTATTATTGCCATTCTTCCCCTCCACAGTATTTTTATATTTGTCATAAGGATATTTATAGAACTATTGAAAAATAGATTACCGCGCGATTATAATGAATTTATAGGTTACTCTCTCCAATTATTTGTTTCCTTGAAACTGATTTTTCCTGAGAGGGATTGCTTCTGAAAAAGATAATTTCAAAGAAAATATTATCAGGACTGGCACATTAGTAGATATTCGCAAAAAGTCTTCTTTTTACACGTTTTCCAAGCACGGGGTGGCTGGGTGTCGAACATCACGTACAGATTCTGTGCTGGCCCCGAAGAGGCGTAGATTCGAATTCCGCTTTGGGGATACGTTCGTCACTCGTCTTCGTGTGTGAGTACGTGCCTCGCTATCTATGCTCCCCCTTCTCCGACCCAAAGAATATTTATTTTCGATTTAGTAAAACCTGTATCATTTGATCAAATTTTACGTTAGATCTAAATTTTTCATTTATCATGTACTTGAAAAACAAAAACACTTTTCAAACAATTTTCACGAGACATGCTGCTCCTCAAAAGTACCATTACGTTTCCAGCTCCGCAGATACAGAAGATTATAGTATCATTCGCTCGTCCTGTGCAGTGACACCTGGGGGCATAGCCGAGAGGGCGTTGACGCCACTTTGTTTCCTTCGTTCCCCGTACGAAACAATCGAGAGTGCCCGCCGCGCTGTCAGATCGGCAGTCGGCCGCGTCGTGTGATACTAACGAGGACTCGTAGAAAGACACCGCGCTCGCTCCCGTTCACGCACGACTTCGCCACCGCCACCGCCCCACCGCCTCCGCCACCTTCTCCACCACAGCCACCGCTTCCGCCGCCATTTCCAACACAGTCACCGCCACCGCCACCGCCCCCGCCATCTCCACCACAGCCACCGCCCTCGCTGCTGCCGCCGTCGGCCGCGAACGTGCAAGTCACTCTTCGCGGGACGCGACGAGGCGGCCCGGAGACAAAATAAGAAACGCGCGAGTGAAAATAAACACCTGTTTAATCTAATTTCGACCGCCGCCGCCGCCGCAACGCTCACTACGTAACCTATTTATAAGCAGCCGAACCCGCGCGCGCCGCGCAACTGAACATTCCGGTTGTTGACCTCCGGGAGACGCGACGGTGAAAGGCGGCGGCGTCGCGCGCATAAAGGGTGACCCGCGAGCGTCACGAGGCGCCAGCCGTCAATAAAGGCGGACGGTCCATGTGACGCAGGCAGACGGTACTCGTGATGGCAACCGTTAGGTAGCCCTCGGCAACACGTGTAGAGAGGTAGTTACTGCTTCCGTTCCTCTGAGATGGTTAACAACCAGCGAAGTGCTATAATGCGATCTAGGGGTTAACTAACTTTTGAAACCGAGGTGGTGATTGGCAACTAGAGTTTTTTTGGTCTTTTGGTTTTTTATCATATTTGCGAGGCGTACATTGCATACACTCTTCGAGCTTCGACATAATTACTAATTATGGACAGGAACGTCTATATTACTAGTTTACAATTTGCGAAGAAATTAAAAGAAAACGTTGTAGCTTCTGGCATTGTGAGAGATGAATATCTAATGAAATGAGTTTCATTAGATACCCAGGAACTCGGAGGGGAGGGGGATGAAAAAAATGGATAGTGTGATTCTAACTAAAAAAAATTGCTGCGGCTCAGTAAAACATGCGCAGATTATACCATACTTTTTCCCCATACGTTACACAGAGTTCGTACTGTTGTTTGATCGAAATAAATCGTATCAAATCTAATCAAAAATGCAAATATTTGATTTTGTAATTCAGCCTATTATCACAGTCAGTGTCTCTCTGCTTACGACTCCACCGCTGTCATGACACAGAAAGGCTTCAAAGAAGAGACCGATCGCCATCAAATCTTTGCTCTTTTACATATTGCGTTAAGTAACTTAATATTGTCCCCTAATCTTCTAAATCTGTTCTTTGGAATATTTGTATTAAAACCTTATAATCCCTACATTTCCTACAACCTACAATGGATTTAAAATCAAGCTTAGATTAAGGCTTGGTCTTTACCAACTACAACCCAAGAGCCTCGTGAATCTACTGTATACCAGAAGAAACAAGAAAATCGGTGAAGAAGAATTTTGAAAATTTCCTTATAAAATTTCTTGATTATTAAAAATAAAATTCACGCGCTGTTGAAAAACATAACATGATCTGTCATATTAAGAAAATGGTAGGAATAACTGGCCAAAAAGACCAGCTGTGAACACCGTATTACACCCCATACGATAGTTAAATTTCATAGAAATGTAAATTGCATACTTCATCACTCTACAATTCGCTGCTTGGAGAAGAACGCTGTGGAATTTTTTTAAATCCAAATTTAATCAGCCAATCATAGACTTTGAATACTAAAGTTTGTCTTTAGCAAATTGCGCCAAACATAATCTCTCCTCCCCAACTTCAGCAAGTATTGAAAATCTTCCGCTTAAACGATTGCGTCTGGCAAATGCTACTTTTGTGTCACCTCGTGACGAAATTGGAGTGAGAAGAGCGCCCAGCGCAGGTAGAGCGCGGGGCAGAGGCAGCGAGCACAGACGCCCAGCCGGCGCCCGGCGAGCGGTCGCCGCACGGCGCGGCGCGGCGCGGCGCGGTGTGGAGCGGCGCGAGCTGCCCGCGCGGCTGCGTGAGGGAATGCGGCTGCGCTCGACCCGTGCGTGCAGCCGCCCCGCCCCGCCCCGCTCCGCTCCGCTGCTCCCAACGCACCGCTCTGCCCCTATCACGTCGCTACTCGCCCTTTCTATCGGGCGTCCTCTGTCTCAGTCATGTGTGTTTTCACCCATCTGTTGATCTGCTCTCTCGTCTTCACCACCACGCTTCGAACTATATTCTTCATATCCCATGGAACTTCACGTTAGTTCTTACTACGCGAATTTGCTAATGTAGATGAAGTATATTAATATGTTATTGATTATGAAGTGTTATGACTTCAATAGAGCTTCTCACTTTTATTAATTATTTTCCTTTCTAATCGTAGCTTGGGTTAAGGGGTGAAGAAGTAGTCATGCGAGTAATATCAGTGGTGATACGATGACAATCGTCGTAGAGAATATTTGGTTTCCGATGTTCATCCCCATACTATATCCAATTTCTTGAATCTGAAACCTTTGAAGATGTTTCATCTCTTAACAAAGTCAACCGTCCCTCACCACTGAGTTTCACTGACTGACGAGTTAATACTTATGCTGCTGCAGTTTTGCCAGAGGTACCGTATTTTCGCATTTGGGGCGTTCGATCAAATGACTATTTTTCAAATATTGCGAATCTTATAATTTTTAAAATTTATTTTTATTTATTTATGTTAAACATTTACTCATCTTTCAACTATTTATAGTTAAAATGACGGGAAGGGATCCTGGAACTCAAGAAAACGTGCGCAGATAATCGTCTCCCCCATGCGTCACATACAGTTTTTAGTGTTTATTGACTAAATAAAATTAAATTAAAATCCGCAAACCCCATGGCTCAAATGCGGAAATGCGGCACCTCTCTCAACACTAATCAGCATTCTGACAGCCTAACTTCCGCAAAAATTCACATCGCGGCTCTTGATATTCCCCATTTGTGTAATCTCCCTCAGGCAACGCTGTGCTGCCGTGAATTTGCATTCGTCTCCCCAAGAGCTCGGTTCATCATACCATATTGCCTTTGTTATTCTAATGCCTTCCATCTCATTAGATCTTGAAATATCATTGCTAATGAACTCCCGAATAGTTTCAATTTCTGACTTCATTGTTTACTGACCTTTCACGTTGTCGTTCTCTCCCAGTGCTTGTTTCATACGACTGCAATAATCCACCGTCTTATGGTATTACTCTCTCACTGAATAGATCCCATTTCAGTGGTTCTGAGGGATTTCATCGCATTTCCAGCCTTTCATCTCATTCGCATTTTTTCATCTTTGCATCTCAGAAGAAATGAAAATTTGACATAGGTTTATAATAGTGGCTCTTGCAACCATAGGGCCTGCCCCTCCCATGATCATTGAAGACAAATTCAAAGCTATGTGAAGCAATAAAAGCTCGTCTCTTTCGTATTGAGTAGTTGAATCAAATCTTTGCGTTCCCCGGCTATCATCTACGTCTCTCTTGCATCTGTATTACTCCACTAACATCTCTTCTACTTTTCTCATTCCCTACATCAATCGTGAACTTGCATTCTTATCCCAAACGAAGCAGCTTAAACTCAAAATAGCTTTTCCTTACAGTTTGAAGTGCACAACTCTCGGTGGAATGCACGGGCGCGGGGCCGCACTGCACCGGCTTACCCCACCCGCGCATAGCCCCCTCCGGGGCGCGCGTGTCGGCGACCGAGGACACCTGGAGCCCGTGCGGCCGAGGGCGCTGGTGGAAGCGGGACGGGGCAGAGGGCGACTGGCGGGCGTTGCCATGCTTGAGCAAACACGGGGCTTCTTCTGAGTGGGGCATTCGTATTCCGGTCACACACGGACAGATTCTTCACAGAAAGCGGGCCGTGGTTGGCAGTCGACCTCTAGGGAACGACATTATTAGCTGCTTATGAGCGGCGTGCCGCCTGCGTAATTCGAGATATTACCAACTTATTTAATTACTTCACCTCAGAATTTTAAGCACAAAATGTGATTATTTTAACACCTAAAATCTGTAACAAAATTATGAAATTAGGTTGAGACATGAAAAGTGGCATTTTAGGCACCTACAATAGGTTACAAAATTATTAAACCAGTCATTGTAAGAAAACTGACAGAAGTTATATTTCTGGCATCTAAAACTGATCACAAAAGGATTAAAGTAGTCACCCTTTTTTCAAGAAAGTGAAGTATTTTTACATTTATGGGAGTCACCACACGCGTATAATTTTATTCATTTATTTCACTCACTCGTTCACACCTTTCATTCTGAACCTGGCAAAAGCTCAGCTGCACCGGGAATTGCCTGAGTACAATTGCCGAAGGAGTGCGTGCTGATTAAAAACGAGCGTGAAACATCCTCTTTATATTAACTTGCAGAGCTCATTATGTTTGGCGATTTCGGCGAGAGACATCGGTGCGTATTCGAGCAAGGGAATTTTAGCGTTTCGGAAAAGTATTTGAATATGTTGTTCTTAAAACTCCGCAAGTCAGGAATTGTAAAGATAAATTGAGTAATTACGTACAACTCTTCTGTTTTTTTAAAGTTCTAACACATAAATCGCGATTGTGCGAGCGACGCGCGAGGCCGCAGTCCAGCCGAGCTGCGAAGCAGGGCGAAGCAGGGCGAAGCAGGGCGAAGCAGGGCGAAGCGGTGCCCTACGCTGGAGGCATCCCCGCGCCCACCCCGCCCCGCGCTGCCCCGCTCGCCCGCCCGCACGGGCGGCAGAGCGACGGTCGTTAACAGGGCTTCTCTAGGGCACAGCGTCTCCCATTGAGGGTGTCATTCGATTCAAAATTCCGTAATTGAAAGCATGCCGAGAGGAGTAGAAGGCTGCTGAACATCTAACAAAGGTGTGCCCTAAGCATCGTAGGACTTCCCCTTCGGTTTCACATAATAGAAAAAGTGTTTCAGACTTTTTTCGGCATGTTGTTGGGTATCTTCGTGAATGAAACACACAAAACATAATTGAATCCTGAAGGTATTCCGTATTCCACAAAATATTTGTTCAAATTTGATTGATTGATGCTCTCGGGAATATCAATTGCATTGGTCGCTAGTCCGGTTTTAATGCTTTTAATTGCGGGAAGTGGCGGTGTTCCTGTCTATGGATGAGGAGATTCGTTGCCGGCCTGCATGTCGAATTGTAGGGTATTAGTAAGAAACTAAAACGAACTGAAAATTCTATTTGCCGTTTGTGTTTAAATTTATTCCTTACTTTCTTGAGCGTATTCATAGATTTAGCA